TCAAAATTTTGAGACTCATTCACTACCAAGACATTTTGTCCGTGAACAAGTCTCAAGGGGGCATTTGTAGACATCGAAATTTTAATATTTTATTAATTAATGTCCTTATTTATTTTTGGACATAAATCCATGATAAATAAGATATTTAATTAATAAAGTTATTATTTCTTGCCTACCAAGTCAAATCTTAGGATAAGGAAAGAGATTATATCAAATCTTAGGAGAAGGAAAGAGATTATATCAAATCATAAAGGACCAATCAAATTGAAGTCCTCTTCTCCAAGACTCTCTCTCCCACACGTATAAATAGGACTCTCCTCAATGCCACAAATCACACATCAAACACCTCAAAATATCAAACACATCTCAAAGATTAAAGTCTCAAATTGAAGAGCTCTCTTGAAGATTTGAAGAAGTTCTTGAAGAACCGCCCGAAGTTCATTCAATGAAGAAGAAGGCCACGAAGAAGAAAAAGAGGAGAGTCAACGTTATTCAAGTCAAAGTCTCTCTTTTCCAGAAGATCAAACAAACAAGTTCTCCAAGAAGTTGTCTTCAATCAAGTCAAGACCTAACATTTAATACGAGAATAAGTCATGCGACCCCCAAATTAATGTTAGAGAAATTCAAAACCAAGCACGAAAGAGGTTCAATCATCAAATACATCTTTCAAGATCTCAAACTCAAATCCATGAAGAGAAGAATCAGAGGAGATAAATAAAGATTGTACCCGCAATATCATTTAATCGAAATAAATCAAGTTGTACATAAAACTTTTATGTTTTTCATAAAATTTGTTGTTACATGAGGAAAGCAAAGAACAAAAGGGAGATTTAGGGTCGAGATCCGGCGACTGTTCTCATCGGATTTCGTCAATCATTTTTGAGCTTCATTCATTTGATCCCGAAAGTTCGTCCGATCTGACATCGAAGAGATGAAGGGAACATGTTCTCTTGTCGCGTACGTTGTGGTTTTGTCCACCGTCGCCACCACTTCCTGCTCTGATAATCGCAAATCTGTGAATAAGAGGGGAGGCTCGGCTGGGAAGGAGAAAAATATGCGTCGATGGGCTGAGGTTCATGGATATCCTGGTCGCTACCCACAGGTTCATTGAGAAGGATGAGCTTTGTTAGAAATTTGATTAGATTTGGGAATTGGGATTTTGTTTTTCTGATTTGCTTTGGGTGGTGCTTTGTGCATGTGGATTTCAGGAAGCACACAGTTTTCGTGCGCGGGGCTAATGAGGTAGAGTTTTTATTCTGGTCTCCAAGCAAAAGTTATGTCTATTGGTGATCATTAAATTTTGTTTTGCTGGGTTTCTTTTGTTGGATGGTTTATAATGGGGATTCAATTACATTTTTTTTTTTTCTGGGAAGTTAAAGATTCTTTAGTGGTAAACTATATGAAATTTC